TCTCTCCTCTATCCACTCACCCCAACCGGTCGAGGCAGAAGGCCGCCCACCAAGAGCCGGAGTCTGTCAGAGGTTTCTTCCGTTAAAGGGAGTTTTTCCCTCCCGCTGTCGCCAAGTGTTTGCTCAAGGGGGATTTGTTGGGTTTTCCTCTATAATAATAATAATAATAATAGTAAGATCTAGACCTTACTTTGTAAAGTATCCTGAGATGACTTTTGTTGTGATTTGGTGCTATAAAAATATAACTGAATTGAATTTAAAAATACTTGAGGCAACAAAGCATAAAATAGATTTGACTGACCTTAGATCACATCAAACTGCTAACCCTACAGTCAGTGGACTAGCTGCTCTGCCTCCTGTGCCACAGCCACCTCACTGTGGAGAAACTTAAACAATAATAAAAATGTTATATTCCACCACTTCCCCTCTGGCAGACATAATTAGATATACAAGGCTGTTTTGACTGTTTTGATTTTTGACTGCACCCTGCAGCCTACTAGCACAGTGACTTCCTGTTGGCATACTGCTTTACAAATTCCCACATATTTGACATGATACATGAGACATGAGGCCCTTTTGGAGTAAATAAACAAAAGTTCGTCCTTGCCGTTAGAGATGTGCTTTTTGCATCTTTGTCATACAAGAGCCATTGTTCCCTTGTAGAAAAAGAAGTGATCCTCGTTAAAGCAGGCGATTTAAGTAGGAATTAGCATTACACAGATCATCACCGGGTCTGTTTCCTCCAGCGGGTTTCTCACACACACAAACAGGTTTACCCCTTTATTGTGTCACATGCACACATACAGTTGCCTGCTTAAAGCCACTCACACACATGCACTGCCCGCTGACATGTGCACATGCAGTGAACCTGATCTTTACCTCCTTTTGTATCCTGTGCCACTGGGCACTCCTTGTCCCGCCCACATGATAGCTCCTTTCCCAGGACCCTTACTTCCTGCATTCATCCTGTTCCCATGACAACTAAGCTTTAAATGGGTAGAGCCTTTGCTATCAGCCAGACTTGTCAAAAACAGCTTCTCAAAGGGTGACACAGGGAACCAGCTCTCACTGTCTCAGCACTTCTTATTACTCCTCAAGTCTTTTAGGTGTCACCACTATTTCTCCTCTGACTGCAGGACACACCTACTGTGCACCCTCTTCAGCACACATACATGCACACACACACAATTATTGTTTTCTTTTTTTTGTGAAAATACACCCACAGCGAGATAGCTGCTCTGACTGACACTGAGACAGGCCACCAAATGGTGCAGAGGAAATGTTCTTTGGTAAACTGATGGGGTGTGGAGACAGAGGACTGATATTCTACAGCCCCAGAGTGCCAGTGCACTGATACATGTTCAAAGGGATTTTCTGTGCTGTGTTTTCCTTACTCTTTTGAGGAATCCATGTGTTTTTGATGGCCCCTACACCAGTCATTTCCTCCCTGCTGCAGGGGCTATACAATCATTCATTTCATATCTTCATAAACTCACAGGGAGAAGGATATCAGCGTGTGAAAATGAGTGTGTGTCTGTGTTATGGGGATGTTTCCACATCTTTCTGCTGTGCTCTGTGTGACTGTTTTTCGTTGTGTGTGTGTGCGTCCACATATATGTATGAGCACACTGTCCTCCAGGGTTTCTCCATATGTGGCCGAGCTGAGGAGGTATTTTTCTATGTATTGTTCTGCTGCACAGTGACAGATAAAGTGCTCTCTTTAAATTCCATCGGTATATCTGTGTTTCACTGCAGGAGAAGCCGTATAAATGCAGCGAGTGTAACAAGGCCTTCAGCCAGAAAAGAGGGCTGGATGAGCACATGAGGACCCACACAGGAGAGAAACCTTTCCAATGTGATGTATGTATCTAGCTGCCTCTGTTGTACATCTACACCAACCTGCCTTCCCTTGGTACTCACTTGCTTGTGTGTGTGTATGTGTGTGTGTATGTGTGTGTGTGAGATGGCACTCTGGCAGGAGGCCAGATGTTGGGAAGAACTGGGGGTGCTCAGTAAGAGGCAGATAGTAATCTTGCTTCTCTGGAGAGGCCAAGTAGGCTGAGATCACATAAACACATTGAGAGGATCAAAGGGAGAAATTACTCTCTGCTTATAATACTGCAAAGAGTAATAATTATTCTCAGAGTCTGGGGAGGGAACACATGACAGAAGATGTTGTCCATGTTTGGAGCAAACTTTGTCATTGTCTAAAAAAAATTGAAACTTAGAACATTTCACTTTAAATGTTCTGCTTTTTCTTTAGATTGCTACAGAATGTGTTCAGAATGAGTCCATCACCATCAAAGCTATCACTACATGTTGATTTTCGGCAAAAGTCCAAATATTGTTTCCTCTAGAGAATCACAGTATTTGTTTCTGGCTTTTTAAGTAGTTTATTACAGGCAATTTTGAGTTTGAGTTTTAAATAATTATTATAACAAATAAAATAATATAATTTTTTGGAGGTTTATGCTTCTTCCTAGTTGTATCTGGCCATTTGACAGTTTCAATTTGAGACATCAGTCTCTGAATTTTAATATGATATAATGCTGGTGTATGGAGTTTAGTGGTACAGTGGCAGTCCACTTCAACTACGACACACTGTATGTTCTACTGAAGATATAGTCCCAATGTTCTAAAAACAAGGACGTTATTGATTGTAGATCGGTGTGCTGATTTAGCCGCTCACCATCACAGTCAGGCAGGTGCATTAACTAAGAATTTACACATTGTGCCAAATCAAATGAAAATGGGACAGGACATGGTGTCTCTCCACTGTACTGCTCCCCTCCATGACATTATGGTGTCTAAAGCACTTCTGTTGTTATTCCAGCTTCTCTACTCTGTTTTCAAGAACAGTCCATAAACTAGCCCCACATGCCACAGAGCAAAGGTTAAAGATGCATTTATTGAACTGTGACAAGTAATTTCAGACAGACAGCCACGGAGGAGCTCGTATCTAGTAGGAATCCAAAACAGTGGCTGCCAGAGCAAAGAGGTCGCGTTCTTTTGCATAAAGTGGGACAAATAATGAGCAAAAACCAGGGTTAACATCAGTTTGGCTTTTTGAGATGGACAGTGTTAAGAAGCAGCCAAAGGACTCAGATTTGATTCAGATGTGGTGTTCCTCCTTCTGGATGTGTTAACATCTAAAGCTAAAGAGTTTCTTTTGGTAGCACTAATGACCTAGCATGGGCATGATTTTACCTTGGTGTTGAATTACTATGATTTGAATTGATCAATTTTGTGCAGTATGTCACAACCAAGCATCTGTTTTATTGATGTTTTTGCACCAGTACGGGTCAGCCCTGCTGAGCCGCACTGAGCTGCTCCAGAGTCAGCGCGGTTGTGTTTCCACTGCAACATAAAATGCATTGTTTATCTTGTGCATCTTGATCGTGTGGAGGCGAGGCCGCCGCTGAGGGGTAATGAATGACTCAGTGTGGTATTACTAGCTTGCTACATGGAGCCCTTGGTGCCAGGCATTATTTTAAGCCCTCATCAGAAGACTTAGAGACTGCAATTTCAAATCTTGCTGCAGTGAAATAACGGATAAAAAGTGAATGCTAAATGTGCAAGGATGTTCCCTTGGTGCAACATTTCTGCCAATCACGTGTCGATGTTGAAGGCAGAGTTCAGCCCTGGGCAGAAGCAAGGCCGGCTGAACCCAAGTCAGCATGATTACCCCCTGTTGCTAAGGACAGATGGAAACGGAGACCAACCTGTGCCCGCCCGGCTTGGCTCGATTAAAACTGGCTGACCCATTCTGATAGATACCATATGTTGTCGCTAAGAAACAGGACATGATGAGGAGTGGCTAATGGTGTCAGTTTGTTTTCAGTTTCACCCAGATGTTAGTGGCTGAAAGGAAATTAGTCAGAGCACCTTTAAGCTGCCGGATAAACTCAGCCAAGCCTGGCACACAGATATGATACACATATTTTGAGTTTCAGTGTGACCTACACATTCCAGTAATATTATTGTAATGAAAAACTGTCCACTAATCTGCTAAATAATAAAGAAGATGCTTTTACCAACTGCAGAGAATCCCAGCAGTGTCACTTGACCCAGTTTCTTAACAGTTAAGTTATGGACAGTAGTAAACCTAGGATCCAAAAATCTCAGAATCCTTTGATGAATCTCAAAAAACAAGGTCAGGTCTAATTCTTACTTTCATTTTAACACCCTAATAAGTCTCAAATGACATTACTTTGAGTTCTAAACCAGAAAATGCGCCCATATCCCAGGAGAACCGCAGATTCAGCCTCCCATTCATTGTCAGTGAAGCATTACCAGAAAGTGTGTCCTGACGTTCATCTGGATTCTTTTTTCCCCTAGCTTTAGGGGAGACATATTCTTGTAAATAATTCTACACCAAACTATTAAAGATAATGGAAATAACATGTGGATTGTGTTTTGGGGTGGACAAAGGGTTCGCACAGTTCCAAGAACATTTTCCAGACAAGCGAAGCTCTATATGCAGCATCTGTCATAACAACATTAAAAATGTTTTAGAAGCATCCGGTAACATCTGGGTTACAATGAGACACGGAGGCCCAACTTTCATCATCCTCGGTCACTGTTTCACTTTATAAATTTCAAAATATTTTGCTGACATTCGATCAGATTTGTAAGTCGTTTGAACTGCAGTGTGTTTAATTCCACTTGGATCATAAAGCTAGCACATTAGCTGAACACAAAAAGGACTGGTTTGATATACTCGTCCCGCTGCTTTCATTCACTGTTTCTATTTTTTGCTGCTCACTCACAGATTTTGTATGAGATTTTCCGAATGTACTTCATAGCACTGACGTTCTTCACAGATGGCGTGAGTGGGACACATGCTGTGGCCCTAGAAGCAGTGTGTTAAACTGCAGCCAAACACCAGCCGTGGATTATCATGATTGACAGAGGACGATGGAGTCATTTGTGTAGTGTAAATTCGTTCATTTATGATGAATATTAAGTTGTGCGCTTTCTTTCTTGCTGCTGGTGTTAAGAACAGGGATTTCTGTCACCAAGAGTGCAGTTTATAAATCAGTGCCTGTGTCTCCAGCAGCGCCTGTGATGAGAGTAAACTTTACAGTTCAAGAGGAACCAGATCAGAGGTTAACACATTTAAATAAAGTATGTTTATATGCTTTGATTATGGATGTTAAAGTTCCGTATTTGCTGTGTTTTGTAGGTGTGTGACCTGTCATTCAGCTTGAAGAAGATGCTCAGCAGACATAAGCTCACACACAACCCTAACCGGCCCATGGCGGAGTGCCAGCTGTGCCACAAGAAGTTCACCAGGAACGACTACCTCAAAGTACACATGGAGAATGTCCATGGGGAAACAGAGAGCTAGAGCCAGTCACGGAAACACTGGCTGAAAATATTTGATTCCTTAGATAAAGTTCACTCTCACGCTTCATGCAGCCAGTATGGCTGTTGTATACTGTATACACAGATGAATAGGTAGGTAGGTAGGCTGAACTTTATTGATCCCACAGTGGGGAAATTCCAGTGTTTCAGCAGCAGTAAAGGACAAAACAACATGACACCATAAGAATAAATACCCCACACATAGCTTGAAAAAACAAGATCCAGGTCCCCGAAAAACAAATACATTTCCATATATGATTTATCTGCCTCCAGAGCTGCTGTGTCTGCTCACAGGGCAAATGAATGTCTGACATTTCATCCAACTCTCTCCGACTTCTAACCAGTGTTACTGTTCGCCATGTCACAGTCTGATGTCTCCCACTGTAGTATTTACTGGCCAACTGTCTGAATACCTTACTGTAAATCTGTGGCCAGAAAAACCAGTCTTTCTCCATGTTTACATCTTTACACTTGTTCTTTGGTGTCCAGACAGATTTTTCTTTTTTTTTAAGCCCTTGAGTATTTTTTTTAAGTTAAGACCTATGTCTGTTTGCAGTTGTGTCATTAACTTAAGGTGCCTTGGTTCAACTATTTCTAACGTTCCCATGACCTGTTGTGTGGAGACCTATGGTGTGTGTTGCTGTTTCTGTGTCCCAACTTTGTGGACAAATGTGCTGCAAATTAGGGACAAAGAGAAAATCTAAAGTACTGTTTGTGGACTTTTGTAATAAATGGTTGAGTATGTTTTCATATGAATGGCCTGGGGTTATTGTACCTTACAGTATGTGTTTACATTGTACTTTATTAATCTTTGTTCAATACAGTATTTCAGTAGTGCACGTCCATTTCCTCATTTGCTGCCCCTTTGATTAATGCATATCTTACATCTGTTTATTCTGCATTTGCAGACTGTGACTTTTCACTTCACACTTTTGTATTTTGAAATGTATACAACCTCATTACCTGCACATCCATTTCCTCTGCTCATTCATATTATGTGTTTGTGAACTGGTGATATTGGGGAGTGAAAGGAAACATTCATTCATTCATTCATTTTCTACCGCTTAGTCCCTAAACGGGGTCACGGGGGGGCGGAGCCAACCCGGCCGGCAATCAGGCGAAGGTGGGGTACCCTGCGCTGGATTGGCGACCTGTCCAGGGTGTACCCCGCCTTCGCCCTGAAAGAAAACACTGTTGATTAAATGTGTTCGGTTCTCATTGTTAATCTAAGCCCTGTTCTTGGGTTGGCAGAGTGCTGGGAGCGACAGCTTTTGTTTCTGAGGCCACAGTCAGCACTGGCCTGATCCGTGAAGTTCTTTCTGTAGATGTATGGACTTTTTCTCATGTTTGTCACCCACAGAGGCTCTCTGGTATGTCAGGATTCAACCCTGTGGAAATCTCATGAGCTTTGGAGTAAATCATCACTGCTCTATGGAGTTTGTCAGACGAGCGGCTGTTCAAACTCAGCCATGTGTGGTTTTGGCTTCCTGAAAACATAGCTATTACAGTGTGTCTGTCTTCAGTGCGCTGTTTGTTTAGCAATTAACTAGTTACCGGTCTTCATGTTAGATTACATTTCAGTACTAGGGCAGAAATCAGAAACACCATATCTCTGTACTCCTATCAGCTGCTCAGGTTTCCTTTCCCAAGGAGCGTGGTTTGTGATGACACTTAGTTCACATGTGGCCGGGGTAACCCACTTTCCCTGTTGTGCTTGGTTCACCACATGACCGTGCAGGGCGTGGCCCCTGCCACCTGGCTGCAGTCTGCTCTTTAGTGGTGAGGCATCCAGGCCACCGACGCACTCTCAAATTCAGTGGCATTTACAGTAAATATACTGGTATCGGTATATTGTACCTTGTAAACAATAGTATTATGGATTTCCTAGAGTGCAATATTCCTGTCTGCCACATTTTATATGTCACTAAACTGACTGACAGGTTTTGTTTATCGCTCTGCTCTCAGAACTCTGTCACCAGCCATGTCTCACAGCATCTGATTTTCTCATGGGACTTTCCTGGTGACCCACTGATCTTGTCTTTGACTTACTTTTTTCTTGTGTGCATCCCTGCCTGCGTCTCTCCCTTCCTGCTGGGTGTATCATGCCAAAGCTCCTGCTCAGTGTGTTTCTAATTACATGTTTTTACTGGAAGCCCCAGTTTCCTGGGTTTCCTCCCCATTTGTGAGTGTGGCCAGACTGGGCCCTGACCAGCGTCCACAGAGCACAAACCAGGCCTGCCCACTGCAGAGGCTACACAGGAGTATCATTACCCGGTTAGCCTGGGTTTATGGCGAACCGCTGTCACGTTAGGAATGACACGGACTGACCCCTGTGTTTGGCTGGTGTTGTTATGGTGACACGTAGCCTTTCCATCCACTTCCTTTGATGAGAGTACGGTGGAATGTGTGTGCCCAGAGAAGGTGCCATGCAGGAGAATTTTAATATGATTGGGCAGGGTGTGTTTGAGTATTCAGTTGTGATAGACATTTCCTTAAAGCCACATTTCCATGGAAACAGACTGTGGCACTGTGGTACCAAAAACACCTTTGAAAACCAGCAAAACATCAAATGCTTAACACAAGGCCATGAGGCTTGAGCTGAAAGTTGCCCGTTTGAAGGAAAAAAAACACACATGCACTTGCAAACCATTCTCACAGTATTTCTGTCTTGGTTGTTGATTACAAGATGGTTTTAATTTAATCTTGAGACTCCAGTCCCAGCAAGAGAGCAGTGCGTCAGGTCTGGTAGATGGATTATTTCATTAGGAGGAAATTAGACAATGAACAAGAAACTACACACAGCTAGCTACAGCCCCCACCCACCTGCTCACAGCCCAAAACCTCATGTATGCACAAACATTAAAGAGAAACTACACAAAATGCATTTGTCATGCAGTACAACATTTTAAAGCTGCTGTTGTGTCTTCATATTAACAGTTAGCCAAATGACTGCATGTAATGTGAACAGGGTGACAGAGAAAATGGCCATCCAACTCTGGAGTGCCCCACATTGTTTTGGTTTTACAGCCAACAACTTTTCTGTTTTGGTTTACTCTCACTGCTCTCGTCGATGTTGTTTCCAGACACCGCAGACAGCTGTTTTCAGCGAAACAGTTCTTAAACACCCACTGTATGTTACCTCTCCAGAAGCAAACAGCTGACAGACAGAGCTAGCAACCAGCAAGTGTGGAGCATTTTGCAGCTAAAGAGCCAGATATTTCCCTCTGGAATTGGTTGAGCCCTTAAACAGCTAAAAAGAAAGAGTGAACATTGAACTGAGATTCACAGGTTGGCCAGAAACACAACTCTAAAGGAATGCTAATGCTGCTATGGGTCTATTAGATGTGTAAATAGACAAATGTTTGCTAACTAATTTGCCAAGTCAAATTTAGAGGATGCTAATATGTCACTGTCGTGTTTACAGCTGCTCTCAAACGACTGAAAAATATTGCTGGTTTATAAAATGATTTAAACTTTGAAATGGATTCAAATATAGCAGATAAATAAAAAGGAAAACGGCTTGTCGTCATTCTACTTAAGAACTTGTGGAAATACTCTATTAATAAAGCAGAGGTACTGTATACTGCATGCCCTGATTGTTTATGTTCTGCCTGCAGGAAATGGAACCACATTTGAAGCACTGGAGCACAATAGTGCCTTGGACAAAGACTCATGAGAAACACGAGAACTCAGTGAAGCTGAACGCTGGCCAGGAAAGGCTCCAGAAGAACGATGGAGAATTGTCTTCTTTTCCCAGTTTTATTCTATTCGGGAGCTGAAACCCTCTGAAAATGGCTCAGCCTGTGCCAAGTACAGCTGCTAATTCCAGTAAACAAGTATGCTGACTTTTTCTAACTGTGAAGAAGTACAGGAGATGAATGGCCCCAGAATCAGCTACAGAACAGAGAGGCTCATTCTGAAAAGCTGGAGCGTCTAAGACATCATTCAGTGTGCTGGTCCACCCCTGGAGCATTAGTGTTGGTCATTTCTGTCAGCACAGTGTTGCTGTGCGCTATCACTCCTCAGCCTCATTAGGAACTACAGTCATGTCTGCACTTCATATGCACTGAGTGGATGTCACTTTACATGGCCATGCACTGCAGAAGAGTTAGGAAATTCACACAAGGTTGGTGATTTACATGTGATCTTCCAGCATCTGCTGGGGAGTAAACAAAGCGATGCTGATGTGGTGTTTAAGCTCAGTTGTCCAAACAGAAATTCAGCTTGGCAGAAAACATACAACAATGCAGAAAATCAAATAAGATTGTGACCATTGTCGAGGTTCAGGGTGACCCACAAAGGAGAAAATTTCTATGATGATCTGCCAGAAGCCAAATCAAACCCATTCTTTTGACTGGATATTTGAACAGGATGTATGAGGCTGCCTCTCCTACTGCCACAGTCATCTTCTCTCCTTCTGCAGCAAGTGTTGCCCTGGGATTTGTTGTTAGGTGATTAGCAATGACAGAGAGGACTCAACTGGTCTAATCAAAACATTTGTGCAAATGTGATGATAGATACACCATAATTTCTCTGTTTTCTCTTTGGCTAGGCTGCTGCTCATCCTCCTCCTCCTCCTCCCAGTGCTGTTGCTGTCTCAGCCCCCATAATCTTGGCGTTTTGGGAGACCTGTGTTAAGCACACGGCACAACACAAATAACACCAAAGTCCCGCTGGGCTGGAGAACCAAAGGTAATGACTGCAAAATGTTTCACTGCAAGAACACACATGGACAACACTGAGAAGAGGATTAGACTGAAGGAGAGTAAAATTAAATTATTAAACTCTTCTTAAGGACTATTAAAGTAAATATGAAACATCAGTGTGTTGGATCAAAGAGAAAGCAATACACTCAAAATATCTTGTTTTTTTATTTATGCAAATTGATATTTTTGGAACAGCGGTAAGCAATCTGTGAAATTAAATTTAACTCATGACATAACATTGGCCTTATTGTCTCCACTCAGGCTACATTTCTGTTTTGAGTTTTGAACCATGTTTGAAATCGAGTCCTGTGTGAGTTTGGTGAAACCAAATTCCACAGCGAGGGCCTGTTTCCTGTCAGAGCAGCAGGAGAAGCAACACTGAGATACACACCTTTCATGTGTTGATTTAGGTTTTGGCCCAATGAGCAGTCGAACACACACACACACACACACACACGCACACAGAGCCAAATGTGCACAAGGATGCTAACCTCACGGTGAAAGGCCTCCACTGTCTGTGGCCCTTCTGAAAAGTGTGAGGTGGGACTGGGGGTTTCTGTCTGGGCCTGTAAATTAGCCACGTTGAACCTGTTAACTCAGACCACACACACACACACAAATAGACACACACATTCATACGTGCATGACTTGTCACAGTGAACAGCTGCCTGGACCTGAATACATCTATCTTCCACAGGAAGTTATTAGTCAAACAAATGTAATGAATCTGTTGTTCTTGTCTTGTTGACCCTGACCATATCTGTCTCCCCTTCACACACACAGCCCACTCAGTCCACACCATACACTATAAAACAGCCAGGCATGTTTGTGTGGTGGCTCTGTCTTCCTCACTCCTTTCAACAGAAACAGCAGGGTGGAGAGAGAATCAAGGTCACGGACCTCTTGAATAAAAGAAAGCTGGTTCACTCCCACACCTATTTGGTTTCAGAGCTCTGTCAACAAAAGCTGTCTCGGTAGCTTGGATAAACACAAGCAGCATGTGCTTGCATGCATATAGACAATGTTGTGAAATGTAATTTTAAAATTAAAACATCATATGTTAGTTTTTATTGCAA